GGTGGGAGGGGCCTGGGAGTGCTTGGCAAGGGTGGCATGGGCAAGCTGGTCAGGCTTCAGTGGCAGCTATGAGCCAACCAGCATGGGAGCAGTTGTGCCAAGCAGAGATTATACTAGAGGGAAACAGGAAGCGGGACTCACAGTTTTGATTAATGGGGGTTGCCTTACGGGTGGCTGTGTTCTGTGAAAGCCCCATTGATGTTGCAGTGACGTATAGTAATAATTAAAAAGACAACACTTGTAAAGACATAGAGAAAGTGAGAATAAAAACAATTTGGTGAGCTTTGCGGAACTGAACTCCCTCAGTTCAAAACCCAGCTTCAACACTTACTGGCTGTATGACCTTTAACAGTCACTTCACCTATCTGGGCCTCTATGTTCTCATCTGTAAAATGGGTATAAAATGGTTTCTAGTATATGGGATTATTCACCTGGATAAGCAACTCAGGACCGAAAACGTGCTTAGACAATGCTTGGCATAGGGGGAGGGTTCCAGGGTGATTCGTGCCTGGGGCTCTGGGCTGAAGGAGGCAGGTGTGGTGTGGCATGCTGGTGCTGGAGTGGTCACACTAGCTTGGAACACAGCGTGGCCTTCTGGTGTGTCTTGCTTAGACTTGCCTCCTGCACTTGCCGGCTGTATCTGCTGATCTGTCTGCTGGTTGTCTCCCTGACAGCCTCCTGCAAGACTCACCTGTGCACACATCACACCTCCCTGTACCCGCAGGAGAGCCTTGCGAAGTCCTGATCATCTGGTGAGCTAGACCTCATCTCTATGTCCCCAGGAAGGCTTCCCTGCCTGCCTTAGTGTGCTGTCAGCTCGGCATCCTCTGGTCCCCCAGGGCTGACCCATTGGGCCGCATACTTGGTGTTCTCTGTGTGGCTCCTGTGGTTGTGTATATACTCACGTGCATAAGACGTGTTTGCCCAACTAGTTTGTAATTTCTGAGTTCACGGACTTGATTTAAATTTCTTCTTGAGCCTGCACTGCTCCTGGAATGCTGTCTAGTTGTATTTCACTCCTGTGGCTGCTGCTAGCTGCCCGGTTGGCAGTTGGGACTGGGGGGATGCTCATCCACTTGGGGCACTGACAGAAAGCCTGACACCAGCCCTGCCTTTGTTCTCCCGAGTTCCCTGAAGGCAACCCACTCATGCTGGGAGGTGTCGAGTCTAGCAGGGCTCTTGCACCTCTCGCCCTCCTGAATCAAGGAGGAAGAGCTTGCTTGCTCATCCATACAGAGAGAAAAACGAATGATCAGTTACCTTGGGAGGAGACCACAGCCCAGCCCACATGGCTGCCCGGGGGTGAGGCACCCACTGCAGAAGATGTGGGCCCCTCTAGGTGTGGACTTGGCCCCTGGCCAGTGCCATCTGTGGCCTCCTTAAAAATGAAGAGGCGTGGAGAAGTGGCTCGCTCTGCTGTGCATGACAACCTCAGCCCACACAGGCTGCTGGCATTTCTGTGCTATTAAATAATTAAACTGGTACTACATGGAGTAAAACACGCATGGGTCTGGTAAAAGGCCTCAATTAATTGCTTTCATGTTAGCTGTGCACTGTGTCTCGGGGAGGAGATAAGAGGTGAGAACATGGGTTTTGAAGCTAAGCTGAGAGACACCCTTGTACAAAGTGACAAGAACCCTTCTTCCCATGCAGTTTGGTCTGTTCAGTGATGCAGTGCAGAGGTGGCGGCCACCACGATTTTCGGCTCCGGTCTTTGGGGCAGTAGGGCAGGGGGCATGTGGCCCAACTCCTTGTTGATGGGTGGTGTGTGACTGGCTGCCTTGGATGGGCCGGCCCAGGCTGTGACAGGTGGTGGTAACATTGGGCTGCTTTTCTGCTGCTGCTCTTGGAAAACGCTCTGAGTCATCACATGCCCACCTTCTACACCTTCCAGAGGCGGCCTCTGCTGACTGCATGTGACTGTCAGGGCTGGGGATATTCATGGTGCCTGCAATGTCACCTAATGCGTGCAGTGACCAGGGGGTGTCGTCTCATGGTAGCTTGCACTGTGTGAATTGGTGCTCACCCGCCATGCTGCCCTCATGTGGCAAATGTCCACCTCCCCACGGGACATCCTATCCTTGAGGGCAGAGACTGCTAGATCCCTATGCTTCCTGCCCCCGCTCAGGGCCCGGGGCTCCTGCTGCCCGCCAGGCTGGCTCGTGGACTGTGCTGAGCTCCTGCAGGCGGGGATGCAGTGGCCCTGAGGGTAGGTGCTGAACAATGATTTCAAATGATGGGCATTCTCAGATGTGCCTGAGCACCCCTTTGGTTTTAGGGATTATTGTGGGTAGTGGGGTTACAGTTAGACCAAGACAGACCAAAGCTTTCTCATGGAGCTTTGATTTTGGTGAGAGGATATGTACAATAAACAAAAAAGGGAGAGACACGGGATCCTGGGTGGAGATCAGCAAAGAACAAGGGAACCGGAGGTTAGAAAAAACCAGGGCAATGGGCTTGGTGAGGGGGAGCTGCGATTTCTTTTTAATTTTTAATTTTTCTGGGTACATAGTAGGTATAGATATTTACGGGGTGTATGTGGTATTTTGATATAGGCATCCAATGGGTAATAATCACATCAGGGTAAGGGGGGGTGTCCATCCCCCCAGGTGCTTTTCCTTTGTTACAGAGAGCTGCAGTTTTAAGAAGGGCAGTCAGAGGAGCTCTGACTGAGGTGGCGACCTTTAGGCCAAGACTGGGTGGAGGAAGGGATGACTACAGGCTCACGTGAGAGGAGGCCTTCTGCACAGGCTCGGGAATCCAAGCCACTGCGGCTGGAACTAAGCTTGTGCGGCAGAGGGGCAAATGTTAAGATAAAGAGGTAACCGCAGCCAGATCATGCGGGACTTGTCAGGGTGTTAGCTTTTCTTGGATTTGAAACCACTGGGTGATTTGAAGCCTCCGGAACTGTGTCTTTGTGGGCAGAATAGTGGCCCCTGGACCCTGAGAATGTGCACCCACGTGATTAAGTCATGAATCTTGAGATGGAAGATTCTCCTGGATTATGGGGTGAGCCCAATCTAAATACAAGCGTTCTTATAAGAGGAAGGTGGGAGGGTGAGAATCGGAGAGAAAGGTGTGAGGATGGAGGCAGAGGGCAGAGGACAGCGAGAGACCTGATGACGCTATGCTGCTTTGAAGATAGAGAAAGGCCATCAGCTGAGGAATGTGGGTGCCTCTAGGGGCTGGAAGGGGCAAGGACATGATTCTCCCTGAGGGCCTCCAGAAGGGAGGCTAGCCCTGCCCACCCATTTTGACTTCTGACCTCCTGAACTGTAAAATCTGTGTTGGTTTTGACATCAAGTTTGTGGTAATTTGCTGCAGCAGCAATAGACCATTAATACAGGTGTCAGGAATGTTTCATAGCTCCCAGGTAATCTCTGAGTCATCTGGGTGTGAGATTCCACTGGGCAGAACAGAGCCAGGGAGGGGGAAGCCAGGACTCCACTCAGCACTTGGAGGTGGGTGATGGGGAGAGTGAGGCTGCTAGGTGAGCTGCCTGTGGAAATGAGTCCATTGAGTTCCAGCGACTGACCTTGGACCAGGAGTCCACCTGGGGTGAAGCACCTGTCACCTCTCTATGTAAGCAGACTGCATCATGCAGGCGATGGCCCCACCCAGGACACAGCACTTCTCTTTCAGATTTTGCCCAGGTCAGTCATTTGAGATCTTTGAATTTCCTGGACTGGCCCTGGATGACAATAGAGAAGGTGACCAGAAGCCAGGCAGGGGTTAGCGGCTGGAGGTTAGGCACAGGGTGGATGAATCTCTAATGGAGTACTCAGTGTTGTTTAGAGAGCTTTTCCTCTCGGGAGGTTGAGGCGAGGCATGTGGTTCCTCAGGTGTTTTCTACATTCCGGACATTACCATCCTTCTAAGGGCTCAGAGGAGGATCAAAGAGAAGAGCCAGGGGCTGGAATGTTTGGGACCACTGGTCACATTCAAAGAACTGGATGTTCAACTGAAGTTGCTTCTCCATTCTTCTTCCACACGGCCTGCACTCACCTGCTCAGTAGTGGCAACTCTACCTCTGATGGCTTCTTTAAAGTGGACTGTATGCTGTCTTCCACCAACCAACCCTGAGTTCATCCTCATAGGTTTTCCAATGTCCCCTCCTTCCAGAAGCCCTCCAAACCTGATCAAGTGAAGATCAACAGCCTCCCTGGTCTCATTGTGGGGAATTCTGATGGGCATGTGTTCATAACTCTCCAGACTCAGTGTGCTTTTTCCAATGTGGTTTTGATATTAAAAGTGCCTTTACAAAGTTACTTTGGCCCATGATGGACTAACTACCTATGACCTGCTGATTTCATTTTTTTCAAATAAATGACCTTTAACAATGTATTTGACAGGGCCATTGGTTTCAGTATGTTCCTAGAAGACCATCCATCCATCATTCATTTATTCATCTACTCATTCATCTATTCATCCATCCATCACTCCATTTATCTATCTATCCAACCATTTATCTATCTTTCCATGCATCCACTTATCCATCCATCCATCCATCCATCCATCCATCCATCCATCCATCCATCCATCCACTTATCCATCCATCCCTCCCTCCATCCGTCTTTCCATCCATCCACCCATCTTTCCATCCATCCACTCATCCATCCATCTACTCATCCATCCATTACTCCATTTATCTATCTATCCAAATATTTATCTATCCATCCATCTATCCATCCACTTATCCATGCATCCCTCCCTCCCTCCCTCCATCTATCTTTCCATCCATCCATCCTTCCTTCTAATATTTACTGAGCCCCCACTACATGCCAGGATGTGTTCTTAACACCAGGATCACAGCCTTGAACAATGAAGGTATACAGATATAGTTTCTGTTCTCAAGGGGATAACATTCTAGTGATTTTGATCCAATGATATGAACCAGATTTTAAGTTAAATATTTTGGATGTTGACTACCTCAGAAACTGAAAATGTCAAGTCTACAAGGAACCTTAAAAATTATCTACTAATACCCTCTAATTTTACAGGTAAGGAGTCTGAGGCCAGAAGAGAAACGTGGGTGGACAGTGGCCCAAACAAGATGGAGCCCAAGTCTCTGACCGGAATGTTTCCTATTGCCTGTGGCAGGTTCCCCACCCTGTGACTTCTGGGTTTGTACTTGGCATTTGTGGGTGGATGCTTTACAAGGCTGATGTGTACCCACTGGGGTCACAGTTGGAAAAGGGAATACAGAGATGTTTCAGGTGAATGAAATCCAGGTAAAAGGGAGCACTTCTAAAATGGAAATCATGTATAGGGAGGGACATGGGAATGTCTCAGGGCGGTGACTCCAAAACCCTGGGAGGATTGTCCCAAGGGGCTAGAGCACGTAGGTACTTGTAACTGCAACATTCACATGGATTGGATTTGAACCCCCAGTCCAGGCGCCCGGGCAAAATCAACAAACTCTGCATGCTTCTATCCCTACCCAGGCTATTGGCTTACCCAGCCTGTGACTGTACCTTGGGGTTGTGCCCCTGCAGGCCCCTCGCTTTGCCCACTGTTCTGCTCCCACCTGGGGGGCTGCTGCTCACCCACAAGCTCTCCTGGGAAGGCTGTTGAATCGTGGCTGCCCTCGCTCCCCACATGCACACCATCTTTTATTCATCTCTCTCTGATTCCATTCCACAGATCTCTGCAAGCTTGTTGCTCTTGTCATGCCATGGCATGCACAGAAATTAATATTCGGGTGTCGCACCAGAGCAAAGTGGAGGGGACTTGGGATTCTGTGTGGGATGTGGTCAAAATACTCATGACATTTTTGACAGTTACAGGTTGATGAAAAATTCTAAAGTACATAGTTTAAAAAAGATACGAAAAATAAATTTGTATGTGAGTTCTAGAAATCCATAAAATTATTTAAATGAGAAAATTGAGGGCTTTCCTGAATATAACTTTTTCATGTATCAGTTTTGATGCTTAAAAAATGCCCACAATGTAATTTATGCCTCAGATTTAGAGATCATTTGTTCAAATTCCTGCTAGGCACCATTGACTAGAAACTTCGTTCACACAAGTAGATGATAAAGGTTTTGAAACCATTTTGTTTTACAACAATTCAAAAATTTATGACAGTTGAATTTATTTTTAAGGTCTCAAAGAGTTCTTCCTTTTCTTTTGCTGACAAAAGTAATGTTGAAATTTCTCGTAATGGATTTCTTATTGGACTTTTTTATACAAAGTATTTGGAAATAATGAATGCATGTGCACTGTTAGAGCAGTTAGTGGGCTCCCTGACACCAGCTCAGGCACCACTGAAGGGCACATGATGGACACAGTGGGCAGATAGAGCCAGGGTGGGGCTAGGGAGACTAGGGTCTCTGCGTACAGCTACACCTGCAAGAAGCCGCATCAGCCCCACTTACAGGCTGGGCCCTTGGGTGTGGGCACAGACTCCCCTTATGTTGATCAGGGGCGGGCTGCTGGAGAGGTATGGTGGCAGCACCCCTTGGCCGCACATCTTGTGCTGGTGCTCTTGCTGTGCCACAGTGTGCTGAACCACCCTAGATGCCACCACGGGCCCACTAGAACTGCAGTCACTGACCATGTTCTCTCTGTCTTCAGGGCTGGTGGCTGACAGTGCCCCGGCCCCCTGACCTGCCCCAGATTCCAGCTGGGAAACTCTCCTTGGCATATTGCTCACAGGTGTCTCCACAGCCTTCCCAGGTCACTGAACCCTCCAGCACTTCTCCCACCTGCTACATCTTTGAGCAGATGACATTTTTCTCCTAGTCATCTGCAAAAGTTGAGATTATTCAGTATAACCTTCACTTTCTTCTTTTATCTCTCAAATTCTCTATTCCTCACTTCCCTTCCCTCCCTTTCTTTCCTTCCATTTTCATTTGCAGGTATTTGTGCACCACCCTGTATTTGGTGGTGGGTGTGGGTGGTGTGGATGAAGAACAGGACAGAACTCTTCCACTGGGGACTGCTGAGCCTGGCGTGGGAGGCAGCTGGGACTCAACAGACTCCCTTATGTAGGTCCTCTGTCTCCAGCATCTCCCACACATCACTCTGCCTCATCGCCCCTCCAACACACTCCCCAGGTCCCTGTCGTCTATACAACCTCTGTTGCCCCCTTTTATTACCTTGCTGCTGCTCCCTCTAATTCATTGCCTGGGTTTCTGGTGCTCACTGTGGTCCCCCTTGCCCACTCAGCCTTCAGCTTTACACCATGTGGATCCTGCATTTTCCACACAACAGAAGTTGCCTTCTCAAAGGTCACCAGAGACAGAAATGCCAAGTCTGCTGCATGTCATCCACCCTCCTCCCCCTCAGCGTCTCTGTGTGATGGCACCCTGATGGCGGCCTTTATTCTTGCTGCCTTCCTCCCTGTCTCAGGAATGCTACCTTCTTCTGGCTTCTGCCTGCCTTGCTGGGGTTTCTTTTCATCAGTGTGGGAGAAGTAGGCCCCAAGAAGCAAAGGTCACTGTGGTAGGAGCGCAGGCCTGGGCTAAGGGAAAAGGCAGGTGCCAAGCCTTCCACATGCCAGGATTGCAGGACTTCTGTGAGTCACTGTCAATCTTTGGGTTCCCCTTTGGTTTTCACCTCTCACCATCACTGGTAATAAGCAGCCTCAGGCAGCAGAAATGTGCTTCAAATTTGTTTAAGATGCAGTAGGGAACAGGTGAGGGGCCAGATTCTGTTTTCCAGATCAGTCATTTGGATCAAATTTGAGTCTCCAGAGGCAGCTCACAGCATGGGCTGTCCCTAGAGTCTCCAAAGCTGGGAAGCCACACTCCTCCGTCTGGCACTCCGAGGCCCTCTTGGAAGAGGCCTTGTCTGCACCAGAGCAGTGCTCCCTCTCCCGCCTGATGAAGGAGGCCAAGCAGAGCCTCTCTCTTCTGCCTTTTGCTCCCTCTCTGACATGCCCCCTATTCCAATGGCTTGAACCTTCACTTCCCTCAGCTGGAATCCAAATCTGGAACACTCTAAGTCCTTGTCTTACCTAGGATTTTCCCAAAAAGGGCTCAAGAGAAGGGCTTGGCAACTATCTGCTTATTTTGACAATGACACTAAGCAATTGGAGTGAGGGCCTGGTCCAGTGGCCGGGCAAGGAGAGCTTCTCCAAAAGGACGTCGCTGAGCTAGCCATTCTTGGGGCCCCTGTGTCCCTGTGTAGGGGTGCATGAGAATGTCCCCTAAAGAATAGGGGAGGGAAGTCCAGAAATGCTGCATGGGCATTAATATGCTTCCTGAGTGATTAGAGGGTGTATTAGTGCGTTTTCATGCTGCTGATAAAGACATACCTGAGACTGAGCAATTTACAAAAGAAAGGCATTTATTGATTTACAGTTCCACGTGGCTGGAGAGGCCTCACAATCATGGCAGAAGGTGAAAGGCACTTCTTACACGGTGGCAGCAAGAGACAGAATGAGATCCAGGCTAAAAAGGTTTCACCTTATCAAACCATCAGATTTCATGAGACTTATTCACTATCATGAGAGCAGTATGGGGAAACCTCCCCCATGATCCAGTTATCTCCCACTGGGTCCCTTCACAACACGTGGAAATTATGGGAGTACAATTCAATATGAGATTTAGGTGGGAAAACAGGGTGAAGGCTCAGGAGCCTCAGGACCCCAGATCCAGGGTTAGGACTTTGATGCCCTGTGAAGAGAAGGGGGACTGGAGACTCATCATGATAAAATTTTTTTTTTCCCTTTTTGAGACATAGTTTCGTTCTTGTTGCCCAGGCTGGAGAGCAGTGGCCTGTTCTGGGCTCATTGCAACCTCTGCCTTTCAGGTTCAAGCAATTCTCCTGCCTCAGCCTCCTGAGCATCTGGGATTACAGGCACCAGCCACCACACCTGGCTAATTTTTTTTGTTTTTTTTGTATTTTTAGTAGAGACAGGGTTTCACCATGTTGGCCAGGTTGGGCTTGAACTCCTGACTTCAGGTGATCAGCCCACCTTCGGCCTCCCAAAGTGCTGGGATTACAGGCATGAGCCTTGGCACCTGGCCTCATGCCAGTAAAAATTTGAGTGACATGATTAGATGAGCTCCCAGGCTGCTGAGTTCCTGGGCTGCTGAACATGTGCAGGTGCTGGAGAGGGACACCCAGAGAGGGTGTGGCCATCTGCTTCCCCCCACCCTCCCCACACACACTTTGTGCACCTCTGCATCTGGCTGTTCTTCTGTAGCCTTTGTAATTGTGAACCAGTATTTGGCCTGTATAATCAACTGGCAAACCTAAGTAAAATGTGTCTGTGAGCCGTCCTAGCAAATGATCAAACCCATCGGGGGGGTTGTGGGGTCCCTGCTTTATAGTGGGTTTGTCAGACACACAGGCCCCAGCCTGGCACTTGCAAGTGGCATCTGAAGTGGGGCAAACCCCATGTGAGTTAGCCAGAAACCTGTGGGATCTGACGCTATCTCTGGGTGACAGTGTCTGGACTGAATTATTGGACACCCAGCTGGTGCCCGCTGCAGAACTGCTTGGCATGTGGGGAAAACCCCAGACACATCTGATCACAGAGGCATTCTGTGTTGAGTGTGAGTTTGTTTTTCCCTTTCCACAAAGTGACTTGCTCAAGATCCCATTTCAGAAGCCCAATCCTGTCCTTTATTCTGGAACTCACTGGGTCAGGTAGGGCCAGCAGTTGGGAGAGAAAGGGCTAGGGGTGGTGGTGGGTGGGGGGTGCGTGCCAAGGATCAGCAGGACCCTCAGTGGGAGGACACTCAGCTACACATTCAGCAAGCTGGGTTCAGAGAGACAAGAGCGTCTGCACTTGCGGAAGGTGGAAAGGTGGGCTGAGCCTTTGTCAGGCATCAGTGGGTAAAGCTGTGGCACCAGCAGCCGTGCTTTGAGTCTGCACAAAGGTGAAGGTGGAGGAAAGGGTGGCATCCCAGCACTGGGCAGGCTGCCTGGGGCTCCAGAAGAGGTCCAGATGGGATCAGAGACAATGCTGCCAAACAGAGGGCTTGAGAGGGCGTTCAGTAAATATCAAAGAAACACTCCATGTTGTCTTCTTGGTGAGGAGGAACCGGAGCTGGCACCAATACCATAGCGTCTTTACAGTCACTGCATGTCACCCTGCAGGAGAAAGTATGTATTTCCCATTACAGAATGTGGCCTCAGGCTTTCTCCAGGGACCCTTTTAATATCTCCCAAAGGTCCTGAGTTCAACAGCCCCTCTAGTTATTATGATCCATAGACCCCTCGGCTCTAGACTCTACTGGATACTGAGTAAGGGGGAAAATACTCAGAATTTTTTTTTTTTTTCAGATGGGGTCTTGCTCTGTCACCCAGGCTGGAGTGCAGTGGCTCCATCTCGGCTCACTGCAACCTCCGCCTCCCAGGTTCAAGAGATTCTCCTGCATCAGCCTCCTGAGTAGCTAGGATTAGAGGTGCCCACCACCACACCCAGCTAATTTTCGTATGTTTAGTAGAGATGGGCTTCCGCCATGTTGGCCAGGCTGCTTTTGAACTCTTGACCTCAGGTGATTCGCCCACCTTCACCTCCCAAAGTGCTGGAATCACAGGCAGGAGCCACCATGCCCAGCCTAATATGCAGAATTTTAAAGTAAAACTGCCATTTGTAAAGACTGTATTTGAAGAAGGGAGAAGCATCCTCTCCAGTCAGACTCTGAGGACCAACACACACCAGCTTCTGAACACATGAGGATTCCAGGCCTTTGCTCATAGGTAAGCTCAGCCTGAGACCCCTGCAAGCATTCCCTGCAGTCAGCTGTCGAGAGGGGCCTTGTGACACTGGCACTGGAGAGGAGGTGCCCTGTGATACTCAGCAGGTGAGAGGGAGCCACATTGTCATTAGCACATTTTTAAAGGGCCACTTGAAAGGCTTTCTGAAAGATGTAATATTTGTCTAGTAACATCTCTGAGGTCAATAAGGGTTTCACAGTGTTTATCTGGGGAACAAAGCATTCATACCCTTTTTGTTAGGAGACGTTCTTTGTCTCCTACTGACACGAAGCACTGCCTCATTCAGGGTGGTGTGTGTGCCAATTTCCTCATCAAAGGATGCCTACGCCTAGAACGGGAGAAGCAGACGCAGTCCCAGGTTCTCTGCGTGTGATGCTGACGCAGTTGCTTCGGCCAGGTGTGCTGGATGTGCCCTTGCTCCCCTCCACGGGGCCTTAGCGTGGAGGCCCTGGCGCAGCCCTCGCACAGGTAGAAACGCTGGCTACCTCAGACTCCACCCTCTGCTGCGAGACCCTCCTGCCTCAGGTTCCCCCATCCCTTTTGGGTAGGATTGTCAGAACTCTTCCCGGGAAAGTGCTTGGAGCACTGTGGTCCCTGTCCTGTCCTGCCTGTCCTCACACAGGTGGCGCGGTGGCTTAGGCAGATCGGATTGGGCCACTTGCTGGCTTCATCCCCTGGCTTGTGTACACCACAAGGAAGCTGCTTTGCTCCTCTGCTCCTTCTCATTGGATGGGCATGGTGGCAGCACACCCTCAATGTGTTTGTTGCGTGGGTTAAATGTGGTAATGTGTGTGGGGCTTTAGACCAGTGACCGCCACATGGCAAGACCTCAATAATCACTTGTTATAAATGTGTTTCATTAATTTGGAATACTCATTTCCTTCCCCAATTTTACTACCTTTGCAGTAACAATGTGCCACCACTCTTCACAGTGGCTTTATCTAAGTGTTGGCCATGAAGAGTGCCCATTGCTGGTGCTTGAGTAAACATCAGAGGCTCTAGTGCCAAAACCTGCAGAATGGGTGTCAGTGGCCTAGAAAACCATCCAGGGGACAATAAAGGTGGATTTTCTAGGTCCTAGCAATCAGATAGCTGTGGGCGATAGTGAGTTAGGTGTGCTCAGCAATATTCCCAAAGCAAGAGTCAAAAGTAGGCTAGCTCTACATAATTGCAAAACCCACGTAAGTGCTCCCAGTGGCTTTTAGTTCTTACATTGCTTCTTCTAAAGCACTGCATCAGCCAGACTTGTGATGCAGAGACACATTGAGTGGAAAGACCTGAACGTCCCCAGCTCTGAATCCGAAAGTGGTGCAGCAGACTTTGATCTGAATGCGAACTTTTAAGAATATCTCAACTTAATTTACAGATTTTTTTTCCTTTTACCTATGTAAAAGAGTAAATGTAAGAAACCGCATTACCCAATAAGCCCAAACAACTATTTAAATAAGTATAAAATAAAAATTATTTTATAAATAGACATAATCACGCCTCATGTCCTAGTAAAATTGGCAATTTCTTTTTAAATAAATAATATGCAAAACAATATAATGCATTTGTAAGTGACTTACAGAAAGAATTCGGGCTGATAAGCCAATATTTCTTTGTGACAGTTTTTTAGCGTCAGCTTGGCTGGGCTATGGTGCATAGTCATTTGGTTAAATGTTGCAGTTGGAGGTATTTCATAGATGTGATTAACATTCACAATCAGTGGACTGTGAAGAAATAAAACAGATTACCTTCCATCATGTGGGGTGGGGGGACCTCATCCAGTCAGTTCAAGGCCTTAGGAACAGAACTTAGGGTTTCTTGAAGGAGGAGGGATTCAACTCTTACCTGAATTTCTAGCCTACTGGCTTGCTCTATGGATCTCAGACTTATAAGCCCCTACAATTGCTTGAGCCAATTCCTTAAAATAGTTATGTTTCTCTAGAAACCCCTAATATAATCTTTTAAAATATGTTGGTTAGAATTGAGCAATGTGACCCATCTAAAACAAAGTTACATTTAGAGATAACTTGCTTTTCTTAATGCAGACTATTGTTTGCACCAGCTTTCTGGGTGGCTGGTTGTCACCTACCTAGTGACTCTCACTGTAAACTCGGCATTTCCCCGTGCTCTTGTGATTGGCTTCTGCAGACACATGTGCAGGATCTTATATCCATCCCAAGTAATTTCCTTTCACAGAATTTGGTCGATGACTTCGGCCATCATTCACTACTCAGGAGGACTTCCTCTAATGCCACCTTCCTGTTGGTGGCAACGGTGGTACCTGGAAGGACCCAGGTCTGTGCCCCTGAAGGTTCAGGTGAGGTGGTGCCACTGATGTCCTCACTGCCAGGTGTGGAGCAGTCATCTCAGGTCCTTGCAGTGTAGCCCAGGGTCTCTGGAGTTAGTGGCTGTGGGCTTGGGCAGCACATGAGCCATTGCAAATGAGCGGTATTAATAGTTCTCCCAGCACAATCTGTCATCCCTCAACAATGCATTTCTGGCAGTTAATTAGGAGCCACACAGTGGAATAATGGACACCGTGTTTAGAATTACAATCTATCGCTAAACAACAGCTCAGACAGCCCATTGCTGCCCATGACCCTGGATGTCTTGAGTGTCTGCTCCCAGTGCCTATTGAACCCTCTTTAGCAAGTAACCTGCAACGAGTCTGGATGGCTTAATCACTTCTGAGGCTGGGATGCTACCAGAGCAGAGGCAGGAGCTAAAGGAGGCGGGAAGCGGACTCAGCACCTGGAGAAGGGAAACTGCTGGTGCTTACGGTGGCAGGAAACAGGTGTCTTTCCCTCTCCAACAGCAAGGGTCCTGCCATGCTCTTGTTTGGGGGCACAACAGCTTCCCTGTGTTTACTCACACAATGGCATACCCTCAGGGCCTCTCTGGACACTGAGGTGGTTCCTGGGAGACTCCAAGATTAGAACCCAGCTCCACAGCATTGGATTCTCCTGGCTCCTATCGCTGTGGGAAATTCAGCTTCCTCATCTATAAGAGGGGCATAAATTGCTGTCTATTTCTTTGATTGCTAGAAGGGGTAAATAATGTAATCATGTAAAGTCCTTGAATAATTGCATAAAGTCTTACACAGAGTAAGTTATCAGTATTTGTTCTGTGTGTGTGTGTGTGTGTGTGTGTGTGTGTATGAGAGAGAGAGAGAGAGAGAGAGAGAGAGAGAAAGCGAGAGAGAGAGAGAGAAAGCGAGAGAGAGAGGGAGACAGAGAGACAGAGAGATGGGGGGGAGAGAGAGAGGGAGTTCACTTTTGTGGTCACTCACTTTTATCTGCAGTTTCCCCACCACAGGCGGGAGCTGCATATGTGGGGCACAGGGCACCTTCCTTTCATGCCTCGGGGTTGGGTGGGACATCTTTCCAGCTCCCACTCTACTTGACCGAGCTCTTTGCTGGTCTAAGGACAGTACGTCTCTAAATCAGTTTAAGAATAGGCGAGAGAAAACCAGGGTTTATTTTATTCTAACCGTTCAGGCTTGGGAGCGGGATTGCAGGGAGGGCTGTGCATGCTGATAAATGCTTATAACCTGGCCGGGAAGAAAAGTCTTGGTGTAGAGATGCTGGTTTCAGTGGTGTAAATACTCTCACTATGGCTGACGTTGAGATCCTGGAGTTGGGATGGGCATGAGCGGCTCTTTTGAGTGGGTGTGACTCTGCTCCTGACACGCCTGGCGAGGGTGGATGCAGAATAAGTGGGGTCTGGGTTTCTTGGCCGGCTGAGTATCCCCTGTGAGCTTCCTCCCACCCCACTCCATGCTGTCAGGCCACCTGGGGGCCAAGGATGGCTCCTCCTGCAGTGGCTGCCTAAGGCCCCTGCACGGGTCTGCTTGCGGGACCCATGCTGCGTCCAGGGAGTCTCAGAGCCTGCCTGGCTTACCCTGAGCAAGATCCCCTGCTGTATGGCATTTTACCCACCTTTGTAACTGCATTCCGCACCCTCCCACCCTCTTCCAGCCTGCAGCCTGGTGTGGTGTAGGTGTTTTGTGAATGCCTGTTCAGTGCAAACGTTATCAATCACGAGGCACACGTGGGCACAGGCAAGGAGAATTAAAGGCCCTTGGAAGCTTCCCTTTGCCTGAGTCGTGGAGCAGACTGAGGGCCTTTGTCTATCAGCATTTGTGGGGTTCTCACTCAGTGGCTGTGCTTGTTACTCTCCGTGTCTAACAGCAATGTGCAACTCAGCACCTCTCTGCTCACAGGCACACTGAATGTAGAGTGTTTCTGCCAGACTCACCGCACACCCTGTCTGTGGAGGGATGTATTCATGGGCCCTTCCCTGTTCGCCAGACCAGGGCCTGACCCAGAGAAGCCTGCCGAGCGGACAGGGCTCTGTTCCCGGCTCTTGGCTCTGCCAGGCAGGAGGAAGACACACTTGAATGATTCACAGTTGCAATGCCTTGCTATGACTTTATGAATAAATTGGGTGCTTTGCAGAGATCACTGTATCTCCGATGCAAATCCCCACCAGACAATAAATATAGATTCCTGTGTCGTAATCACAGAGGCATCTTGATCTGCCTGCGGTGATTAAAGTGTAACCAAACTGCCATTTAATTTCATTCCAGGCCATTTCAAATTGTGTTGTGTTAAGCTATCCTGATGCAGAAATTCTCCCTGCAGCTCCGGCCCTGTGAGACTCCGTGCTGAAGCCCGTGGCTTCTGCTGAGGAATAAGCTTAGATTTGGTGCGTGGGTTGTATGTGAATGTCCACAAACCTCCTTCTCCTGTCGTTGGCTTTCTCCATAGAGGCCATTTTTGGTCTACAGTTTGGAAGGCTTCTCCGTCCTCCTATCTGTGGATGAGGAAGCTTAAACAGCAGTTCAGAGAAGTCCTTCCCTCACCAGGTCCGCTAAGTGCCTGCTCAAGAACTGTTTTCAGGAAAGTCCCATGGCGTTGGCCCCCATGAACAGGGCTCTTTCTGGGGCAGCTGCGGGTCTGCAGCACCAGGGATCTTATCCATGCCAGAGGGAG